ACACAAGTTCGATAAATTGATCGGACTTGGTGTTGCGGAGCAATGATGTTGAGACGGTCGTTCGACCGTCGTCAGTATGATGAAAGGAATCCAATGATTCGTTCTCGAGCTTTCGTCTACGTTAGAATATAAGAAAATGATGCTATTTTCAAGATTTGATCTGTTCTTCAACCAGATTTACTGTACGATACAGATGTGCGGCAGGGTTATGGTTGGTGTCAAGTGTCCGTGTGCACCATTATTTGTCCGTGTGATCTGTTCGCAAGCATCCTCAGCCTGCCGCAGTTGTGATCATTACGTCTCATACCCGTACCGGTACCCATCAATCGATCCTGAGACCGAAAGCACATCGACAGAAATCTTCTGTGTTGCATGACTCTAGATGACATGAGGGCGGTGAGACCGAAATTTGATATCTTTTCACTTTTTCTTGATTAAAAAAAAGACTGCACAAAATTCAAAGTTCACGCCGGAGAAACATTATCCACTAGAAGAATTAGACATTGTGACTGTTTTTCACTTGAGTGGGAAAGTGTGTCGTCAATATTTTTAAAAAACAAGTTTCGGAAGAAATATGATGGAAACTTTGCACACAATATTGCAGATACAGCACACAAACCGAGAGTTGCAACATCATGGTGAAGCTGCAATTCATCTCTGCTGCTATCCTTGCTGTATGTGGTGTTTCCAACGCAGAGAAACCTGCGGGTGATATCATTCGACTCATGCAGAAGTCTGCTGGGGCAACGGATCAGATGCGTATTCTCACCAAACCAAGAGCAGGCTACAATCCAGCAACAGACACTCCAAGTGTCTGGGTTATGGGCAGTGCCTGCGAAGAGTCTAGTGCTGTCGACTTTCTCTTTGATCCAGTCGATCACGAGTCCAAGTGCTGTCATCAGGATGCTCTTCATGGATTCACAATGTGGCCAGAAAAACAGAACTATGTTATTCCAGAGGGCTCCAACATTATTGCTGAAGATGTATTTACTGCGGATGAAGATTGCAGGAAGAGGTACACTGGCAGTGACAAAGCTAATGTTGCCCTTACTCCGGGCGAAACCTACAATGTGTACATGACCCAAGGGTATACTCCACACAAATCGTTTATGAACAACCTTGTCGAATTCCACAAGTAAGAATCAATATGCGCCTACAGTTACCAGAGCTTATCCTTGACTGCTCGCAGTATCTCACACTACTTTTTGTCTCCCCCTGCGGCATAGTCAAGATATTGTTGCAATGATTTGGTCCACAACAGCAGTGTAAGTCCAGCTGTGTCTTCTTGCTTGCTTGTGAACACTGAAGAATACTAACTAACTCCATTTCTGGTACTACAGCAAGAATAGTGATGAATATTTTGCCCTGGGAGGAGCATCGACTTATAGTAGTGTCCGAGGAGATGGTTATAAGTTTAGAGGTCTAGAACCAAGAACCGGCGAAGAAGGTTTCGAGCTCAACTGTCGAAAGCGTCCAGACAGCACCGAATGTCAGCAATCACCAGAAATCACGGTTGCAGATGGTAAGCACAGTTCCTTCTTTTTGATACTCACAGTTGCCAGTGCAATCAAAAGGCTCACACACCAGTCAACCCGCGACACATTTCCATTGACCAGTCGTTTATAAACGATGACTCTTGCAAAGGCAGTGGTTTTGGGGACCCGCACATGACCACATTTGATGGACTTCGATACGACGTCCATGTTCATGCAGAACTCATCTTTGTCAAATCTCTGGACACTACCTTTGAGATTCAAGGAAGAACTGAAGCTGTCGAGAATCATCCCTCCAGACCTGCCGTCACAACCGGCATCGTTGTCAATGAAGTTGGCGATAACCCAAAAATCCAAATTTCGTTGGCTCGGGACTTGGATGATGACTATACAGAAGAGATGAACGGCTGTCCTGTCCAGCTCTTTGCGGATGATGTTGCCCGACCAGTTTCTGCTGGATCAGGTAGCACCAAGGCATCTGTGGAAGTTTCGAATAGCAGGATAACCATCCAATACCCAGAGACTGGTACCGTGGTAAAAATGCAAGTACGAAGTTGGAGACAAACGTGCCATTTTTCGGTCACGTACATCTTGGCAGACTGTCGACCGAGTGAGCGCATTGTCGGCCTTGTTGGGTCTCCTGATGGGGAATGGCGCAACGACTGGATGAAGCGGGATGGAACTCCTCTTCCCATTCCACCTGTTTTGAGAAAGGGGTCCGGGTTTGAGCCGACCTACAACTACACCCGTGACAACTGGTGTGTAAATCAGGTATCGGACTCTTACTTCACGTACGAGCATGACACCAGCTTCGAGTTCTTTGACCATTGCGACAACCCGTAAGTACTGGATCGAAACCGAAGCACATATACCAGTGCCTATAGGTCTCACATTGTTTGCATATCTCTGGCTCAAACAGATACGATCGTGCATTGGAGGATGCTATAAACAATGCCCTTCCAACTATTGTCTCGCACTGTAACGATGATATATTTTGCATGATCGATTACATTGCTTTGGGAGAAGAGGCTGCAGATGCATACCTTGAAGACCCAGCGTTGGACATCCCGCTACAACAGACTGCCTCCACAGATATTGACATCATTCTTCAAGGTAAGCTTCATGTTGCAACAATATCAACTGCGTCTTCCAGAATCAACATTCATCCATCTTGATTATCTCTTTCTCTTGTCCAGTTCCTAATGAGTCTCCAAATCCCAGCTGCCCTGTTTGCAAGGCCATTGGATGGGGGGATCGTAAGTTCGGTGTTATGTAGCTGTGTTTGTCTCGACATTCGTACAGTACTGACTGACTACTTTTTCGAACCATGCAGCGCATATCGTGACCTTCGATGGAGTAAGTGCCTTTGCAACCGAACTCTGCCTCTGTTCTGCTTGTGAAAAGGGGTCTAACTTCCACTTCTACAGGTTGCCTACGATGTCCACGTCAAGGGTGAGCTAACCTTTCTCAAGAGTTTGAGCACCGATTTCACTATCCAAGCTCGAACACAAATCGTCGCTACCCATCCAAAGGGCCCTGCTGTAACAACTGGGGTTCTTGTTCACGAGGACAGCACCCTCAATCTACCTGTGGTGCAAGTCTCGTTGAGTCGAGATCAAAACAGTGAGCTTGCAACCATGATCGGTGAATGCCCAGTTCAGCTATTTGTGGACGGGGCTGCCAAGGACATTACTCTCGGTACAGGATCATTCGATTCTGTTGTCCAAGTCAAGAACAAGCGCATCGTTGTTGAGTATCCTTCTACTGGTTTGCGTGTTGACATGCAAGTTAAAGTCTGGCGTAACACGTGTCACTTTTCCGTGACTTACTTCTTGGCCGACTGTCGATGCGATGAAACCTTGGTTGGTGTTTTGGGTCTGCCTGATGGTGATTGGTCGAACGACTGGCATCAACACGATGGAACTCCTGAAGAGATCCCACGAAGACGCCGCGGTCAAGAGGCATATGACTACTCGATGAGGTGGTGCTTGAACGACGCCGCGTCCCACTTCACCTACGAACCAGATATGAACCATGGAAGCTTTGACAATTGTACACCAGATGCGTGAGTTGAAACATGCCCAAATTTTGAGAGTGTTGATTGTCTGCGCCTTGCTATAACAACATTGTTTCTGTTTTACAGCTTTGACTTGGACATTGACATTATCATTAGCGATGCTGCTCCGGACGTTATCACAAAATGTACACTTGGCACTGACGGCGTACTTGATGAAGGATGTGTCTTGGAATGTGCATTTTTAGGCGATGATGCCTGCAGCGAATACATAGATATTATTTCAGATGCAGCCATCGTTGACATCCCTCCTGTCGAGGGACCCATTCCAAACCGAGGTGAAATCGGAGATGGAGAAGGCGAAGCAGCTGAAAATGCTGGAGACGGAGATGAAGATGAAAATGCCAACGCTGGAAGCAACGGAGATCCTCATTGTAAGTCGTCTGTCACCCCTTTCTGTCTTTCCAATTGTGAAGCTTTGGCACTCATTCGACTTCCCCCCTTCTTGATTCTTTGTGATAATTGCAGTCAAATCATGGATTGGAGAACACTTTGAGTACCATGGGCAATGCGACCTTGTCCTGATCAAGGATCCAAACTTTGCCAATGGACTTGGCATTGACGTTCACATTCGCACCAAACTCGTGAGACACTGGAGCTTCATAAAAAACGCTGTGATTCGCATTGGCAATGACATTCTGGAGATTGAAGGCTCCGGAATAGAATTTGATTCCAAGATTCGCTATTGGATCAACTATGAGTATGAAGGAAAGATGGATGAGTTTGCTGGGTTCCCTGTCACAATGTTGTCCCAACAAAAAACTGCAGCCACCAAGAATCGAATCGAGATTGACTTGGATTCGGTCTATCCTGGACAAAAGATTGAACTTTCTACCTTCAAGGAGTTTGTGAAGGTATCGTTTGAGAATGCGAACGAGGAATCTTTTGGAAGCAGTGTTGGTATGCTTGGCGACTTCAAGACTGGCAAGACTCTTGCCCGCGATGGTGTTACCGTCCTCGATGACTTTACTGAGCTTGGTCATGAATGGCAAGTCCTCCCTTCGGACAAGCATTTCTTCCACGATATTTCTGCTCCTCAATTCCCCATTAGGTGCTTTGATCCTGAAGATGCACGTGGTGATCGCCGTCGTCGGTTGGATGAATTTACCATTAGTGAAGAGCAAGCCGAAGCAGCTTGTGCCTCGTTGAAGGACCCCCTTGATCGAAAGGACTGTGTCTATGATATCTTGGCGACTCAAGATATGGACATGGCCGGAGCTTACTAGATCTTGAACGACACAATTTTATAGGTGTGCATGGAATAATATCATGTCGAGGGAAACAAGAGGAAAGATGCGAACATACAAACATACGAATATATCAATAGCTATCAAAAAAATATAGTCGAGAGCACCTCGTGACAAATTGCTCAACGATTGTGAAATCATCGAGCAGCCATTGAAAAGAACAACTCATCATCGTGATACTTGTACGTGTACTCATGCGATGGATGGAGCAATTCGAAATTTCAAATTTCATTGTGTAACAGATTTGAAATGCTCGGAATAACGCATCATCGCATACCGGTTTGGAATTTTCGTGAACGGTCGAAGGAGTCGTACTATACTATCGCACTGCGCGCGCGTAGGTATATATATCTCGCATCCTTCATCATCATCATGATTGACAATGATACCGACTGTGTGCATCGAACGCAAGCAAAGGCGTGCGATTACTGTATTTCGACCTTGAATAAACACACAACATGAAAAATTCTCGCATATCATTTATATAGATGTGCGTGATGGCAGGAAAGGAAATTGGTTCCATCGAATGAGTCAGACTACTGTACTTCTTTCATGCTGCCAGCCAACTTGAGAGTTGACACTTATGTTACTACAATATTATCATGCATCAGCACTGAGCTACAACAAACATTCACAACTGTGACGAGAAGTAATCATACATCCCAGTCGATTCGAATTGTGCCTTTCACAAGGCAAGCACTAGCACTCGTAAAGATGACTCAGTCAATGAAAATGATGTCAACGAAGATTACATTTCATAATCTGGGTAGCCCTGGGTAGCCCTTGCATGTTTTTGATCCAGAAGCGATGCCGTCTTCTCCGTAGAACAAATTATGCTTACACAAGGATAACAATGGACTACATACCGGCAGCGAGGACACTGAAGAAGCAAATGAAGTAATCTACGACTGTCGAAAAGCGGATGAAAGTAGAGGCGACGGCATCGACTTGCTCGATATCAACATTGGAATTGAACGCAGCACTCCGTAGAGATGCTGGTTTGTGTTCATACTCGGCCGGGTTTCATACACATAAAAAGAAGAGACCAGATGATGAGACTGCGGTTTTTGGTCCATTCTTGGGGGCGGCTTCCAGAGCCCTCGTGGCTACAGCTCCTCGCCTTCTTGCGATACTGACATGGTTTCAGAAGGCAAGCACTACAGTACTCCTGAAGATGATCGATTCCTGTCATATATGGATAGGCCAGAAGGTGTCCACGTGGGTTGCAGGCTTTGAAACGTGGGGCATTTGACCTCTGTGACAACAACTACAATTGGTAACTCCTCTCATTAATGCAACTTTTACCATGATACCAGGCGTGGGTCTTGAAGATCTTTCACATCCGCTCATAGTGGTCCTGGCATCTTGGAGTGAAACCAATTGCGTGCTGGTCATGCGAGAGACTTTGCCGCTAGAGAGACTTTGCCGCTACTCAAGCTGCGAGCAATGGGCCTGATCCCAGACCTGCTGATAAGGTCATTCTTCACTCAACCTTCCGGTCACAATCTGGTCTTTTTTACATGACACACTGTCAGACATTGTACGGCCAAAGCTACCAGTAGCTGTCATAGGAGACGGCCGCTGAAAGACTGCGATGACCTTCTTGCATGATTGGAACAGTTCGAATGAATCTTGACAAGATTATTCTTGTATCCTCTATAAGACACAGAAGCGATCTAGCAGCTTACCAGGTATTATACTAGTACCTGGTACTGTGGTATCTGAGACATCGCTTCTCGTGTGCCAGGCGAAAAGAGCGGTGATCACTAATGCGTGGAAAGGTTGCTTTGGGTGTCGTGCGAAACGATGACACAAGATCGAAAAAACCATGTGGGGCATATATCCTGCGAGTACTTAGAGTGCAAAGGAGATTTTGACCACATCAAAAATCAATGGTCGTGTTTATTTTGTCTTGAGAACAATTTGGAATCTCGCGTGTGTCGGTCTTTTGCTGAAACATTTATTATTAATTTTGGTGCGTCCAAAATTGAAAGGCACTGTTTCGAAATTTTTACATAGAAAACAGACCGCCACATTTTCTATTCTAACCTTCGATCTTGCGTCTGTCTTGATCCAAGATTCGAAATATATATGGCGGGAGGTCATTTACATCCAATTCAGTGTGTTTCCTACTGTCACCGTTTCTGAACTGACTGAACAACCCTTGCCCACACAATCGGTTCACAAATTTCAAAACAAACTGAATTGAAAGATGGTCAAACTTCATCTATCCCTTGCTGCTGCCTTTGCAGCATTTACGCTCACCACTGCGGAGAAAGCTCCCGGTGATATTATTGAAATGAAAATGGCGACCACTGGACAAACGGATCAGATACGCATTCTCACCAAACCCAGACCAGGCTACACCCCCGCGGCCGATGCTCCAAGCGTTTGGAATATGAAGGATGGCTGTGAGGATGTGAGCTCAGTCGATTTCATCTTTTCTCCTGTGGATGACGAATCCAAGTGCTGCAAGCTTGAGTCGCTCGATGGGTTCAACCTCTGGCCAGAACAACAAGGTTACACTATCCCTGGCGGAGCCAACATTGTTGCCCAAGAACAGTTCGCTCTCGACAATGGTTGCTTCGAGAGAAACCGTGGATCAGGTGGCTCGTACACCCTTCAATCAGGCGAAACGTACAATTCCTACATGGCCCAATTTTTGTCTCACGACCAATCGACGGTATTCTTTGACAATGTTGTGGAGTTCCACAAGTATGTATCCTACTGCTGTATTGATTTGCTTTGATACTCCAGTTTCTCACACTTTCGTTTGCAGCCAAGACATTGTTGCCATTATTCACGACACCGACAAACTGAAGGAATCTGATCAATTATTCGCGCTTGGGGGGCAATCGACCTACAAAGATGTTCGCGATGATGAATGGAGGGGTTTTGAAGCCAACAGCCATCGATATGAATCCTTGCATGTCAATTGTCTTGCTCGACCAAGCCCTGGATCTTGTCCCGTTACTCTATCCACTGCCGTTAGCGAAGGTCCGTCAACTTTTTTTGAGTTTCATCGTGTTATGAGGTCGTGCCGCACGTTCTCACAGTCGTTCATCATCTTTCAGTTGCCGTATCCAACGAATCTTGCGAGGGTAGAGGTTGGGGCGACCCGCACATGGTCACTTTCGACGGTAAGGAATCCATTCTTCTCAACCACCAACATCAACCTCGATCGTCATTCTCACACACCTGATTCGCTGTCTCAGGTCTTCGTTATGATGTGCATGTGAAGGGTGAACTAATCCTTGTGAAGTCATTGGACTCTGCCTTTGAGATCCAAGGTAGAACCGAAGCCGTCGAAAACCACAATGCAAGACCTGCTGTCACTACCGGCATCGTCGTCAACGAAGTCGGTGACAACCCAAGAATCCAAGTCTCTTTGGCACGCGACGCCAGTGACACGTACACTGAAGTACTTCGTGCCAGCGGTTGCCGTGGAGATCATTGCAACTGTCCTGTTCAGCTCTTTGTGGACGGCGTTGCCCGACCAGTATCGTCCGGATCTGGCAATACTATGGCATCTGTGGCAGTGACTGGCGGCAATAGAATCACTATCCAGTACCCCGAAACAAAAGTCAAGGTTACGATGGATGTCAGAAACTGGAGACAAACTTGCCACTTTTCCGTAACCTACACTTTGGCCGACTGTCGACCAAACGAGAATATCGTTGGTCTGGTTGGATCTCCAGACAACGAGTGGCGAAATGACTGGATGCAGCGCGATGGAACTCCAATTCCTATTCCTCCTTCTTTGAAAAAGGGAGCTGGATTCGAGCCAACTTATATCTACACTCGGGATAACTGGTGCGTGGACAAGGAGTCCGACTCTTACTTCGAGTATGAAGCCAACACCGATTTTGCATTCTTCGATGAGTGCGACAACCCGTAAGTGCTGAAAGCGAAACATTCTATTATGATTATTGCTTTGCATACTGACCTGACTGTTCACTTCATGGGTTTTTTGGACAGATATGATCCTTCCTTGGAGCAAGCTGTTGCCAATGCGGATGCTGCAGTTATTGAGGAATGCCAAGGGGATGTGTTTTGCATTGTCGACAGCATTGCTCTTGGTCCAGAGGCTGCGGAAGCGTATCTTGAAGATCCAGCTCTTAACCACACTCTTTCACAAACAGCTTCCACCGATATTGAAATTGTTCTTCAAGGTGAGTTCCTAACTCTCTCTTCGTTCGAGACGCCTCTCTTTTGTATATATTTGTTTTCTTACGCTTGCTGTCTACGCAGTTCCTGATGAGTCTCCCGATCCCAACTGTCCCGTTTGCAAGGCAAGAGGTTGGGGCGATCGTAAGTCAGCTTTGCAGGATACAGGATATTTTTGTGTGGCTTCGCTAGTACGTGTACTGACTGTCCGCTTTTCCTTTTTGCACTTTGCAGCGCACATTATTACTTTCGATGGAGTTACTTACGACGTCCACGTCAAGGGCGAGCTAACCTTCCTCAAGAGTTTGAGCACCGATTTTGCCATCCAAGCACGGACACAGATCGTCGCCAACCATCCAAAGGGACCCGCTGTGACTACTGCAGTGGTTGTCCACGAGGACAGTACCTTGGGACTCCCTGTCGTTCAGGTTTCACTAGGCAAGGACGAGGACAGCGAGCTTGCAACTATGATTGGACCATGTGCCGTGCAGCTTTTTGTAGATGAGGAAGCCAAGGACATTCGACTTGGAACTGGATCTTCTGATGTCACCGTGCAGGTCAAGAACAAGCGAATTGTTGTCGAATATGCTTCGACCAACTTGCGGTTGGACATGGATGTGAAGGTGTGGCGCGACACTTGCCATTTTTCTGTGAACTATTTCTTGGCCGATTGTCGCTGTGATGAGACTTTGGTTGGGATTCTCGGTCAGCCTGATGGAGACAGCTACAACGAATGGCACGATCACACTGGCAATGCTGTCGACATTCCATCCAACGGACGCAAGCGTCGCGGTATTGAAGCATACAACTAT